AAATGTTATTTCTAAAAAAAAACACATAAATATTTAAATGACATTTGCTTTTTAATATATTAACTTTGGATGGTCTAAATTAGATTGTTGTCTTAAAACAATATTCTTCAAAAAAAATTTATGAAAAAGACCATCTTAAATACAATCAAGATTTTCTAAAACAAAAAATTGTTTGATAATATATTTTGGTAAAAAAATTCACTCAACTTGAAGTTGAGTTAATTTGAGGGTAAATTATTCAAGTTTGAGAATGTTGGAGTACCACATCGGATAGGATGTGTTCTTCGTCACCTTCTATAGTCTTTGAGCAAATGATAATTTTCATCTGATGAATTAAATTTGTCTTTTGAGTGAATACATATTCAAATGTAACTTTAATTTTTCGATGACTTTTTCTCTATTCAACTTTTATTTATTCTTTAAAAAATATATCATCAAAATTCACATTCAAACACCTAAAATACTTCAATCGTTGGCAAACTTTTTGAATATCTTTATATGTCTAGAATAAACACTACAAAATCACTAAAAATAAGTTAGTTTTAGCACAAAGAAAATTTATAGCTAAACACCAAAATTCATTAATAAATCGTATATAGCGACAAATTGATGATAGATATCAATAGTTACAAACAAAATAACAACAAACCATCATCTAAAAATCGTAGCTAATTGAATCATTTTATTAAAAATATCAAGTTTCCGACCATGCATAATTGAAACATCAAAGGACAAAAAATTGAGTTGACTAGAAGAGCCGTAGACAAAATAAATAAGTCACCATTATTTACATTAAGATGTTGGATCATAGTCATTATCAGAATAAGAAACATATTTAAGCCATTAATGATTTATTAAATGCTTCAAGCAATTGCTGCAAATTAAAGTATTGATTCGACCACTCAATTTTTTTTCGCCAAAAATTTAAATTTCTACGTTCAAAACTTAGAAAAGGTTCAATATTTTTCTAGATAACTCGAGCAAATTCAAGGGTCCAGATAACTCTTGAGAAAAGCTAGACAATTGGTATATACAGTAAAAGAAGTGTCATAAATATGAGACTCTATAAAATGAATGTATGTATAGTAAAAGACTGTATAAAATGAATATTCAACGAATTTACTATTTTTCAATTTATTCTTTCATCGATGAGACTTTAAAACGAGCAGGAGGGTTGATTTCTCCATCTTAAGGTACTAAATATTATTATAGGTCTAGCTCGCTGATATAAAAAAAAATTACTAATGCACACCATTGGTAATTTGGTATACTCAATTTCAAAAAATTAAAATGGAGTGATTCTCTTGTCATTATATTCCAAGATGCAACAATCACTTCTAATTGCAAAACAAAAAAATAATAATAAAAGTATCTTAAAATTAGATATATATATGTCCTTTACACGACAAAACACGTGAAGAACGTAACCCTAGCTGTTTTCATGTTTCAAGTTTGCTGGATATTTCAATTTAGTAGCGGAGTCTAAATTTTCATTAAATGATTCAAATTACAATGAAGTCAACACAAAAAAAAAAGGCTTCCAATAAAATCTAAGTATGTTTCTTCACTCTTAGCTCAAAGTATATTGAGAATTATTAGCTTCTTTTGATCTCTATAATTAGAAAACGTTATTGCAATGAATTTTCAAATTTACATATGGAATTTTACGATAATCTCTTGAAAATTTTTTATAATATAAATTTTATTCGTTTCCCATAAGAATTAAGATAAAGAGTTCCAAGAAGATTCTGATAATATTTGGTGGGCCATTTGTTTGTTTTGGAAAGAGCAGGCTGGGCCCAATTAAAGCCATGCTCAACAAACATCAAAGCCCACTAAAATAGCAAAACAGTAATTAAAGTTGTCAACTTAAACCTGAATTTTGGAGTTAGGTGGAGGTGATTAACATTGTGCTTTCCTCTTAATTACTAAATTTAATTAATATATAAATTAAGACCATTATGGCCATTATTATCCAACACATATTTTGCAGAACAAAATAAATAAAATCAAGAAAATAATAGTTTGTCTTTTACGTGATGAACCCAACTTTTTTCTTTTTTAAAAAAAAACATTTTTAAGATATATATAGACTCAGAAATGATTCATATGTGTACAATTATATTAAATATATTATTATTATTATTGTATAGAGTCAGCTTATTTAACGGGAGGGATATAAATTTAAGCCGTTTAATTATTTCAAATCTCCAAGTCTGATATATTGAAATTCATATTCTCCTTAATGTTTACATTGAAATTATTACATAAAAAAGATGTAGGCACTATCTATTGGTTCAACCAATTAAGCAAATAATTTCTTAATTAGATAAGTATATACATGTGGAGAAGTACTAATTTTATTTTATTTTTATATCAAACTTATATTTTCAAAGAACGCTCCTAATCCTCCTGGCCCAAGTGAATATTGGGTTTTGAACAACCAGGCTGGGCTTAATATAGAGATTTAGGGATGGGCTCTAAACATGGGCGGATCTAAGTAGCGAGAGGGTGTTCACTTTGAATTCCTTCGATATAATATTATATGGGATAATTACATAAATATATTATAATAATAATTTCTTTTTATCATTTATAGCAATAATGTTTTTTTTAAATTTTTAAAATTTATTTATAATACAAGTTTAATACATATTACAAAGAACAATTTATTATTCACATATAATAAAAAATTTAATGATGGATAATTCGTTTATCGCACATTTTAATACACTTGTAATACAATGTGATAATCTTTTACCAAACAAACATGATATATTCCAAAAAACAATTATAATTCATATATATTGCATACATAATTCACTTTTAATACATATTACAGATTTAACAAATCATTGCAATAAATGATAATAAACAAAAAGTATCGCTAAAATCAGTAATTATTTTTTAAATGTATTAGTTTATGTAATTTTTTCATATTATATTATATATATAAAAGTAATTACTTATTTTGTATGTATATAGATTCTGATTCTCCCAACGCAAGGTAAGAGACTGATCCAGTAATTTAGGGGATTTTGATGTTTCAAATTTAAATGTTAGGTGCTATGTTTTTATTTTTTCAATTCATTAATGAAAAATTCTAAATCCACGAAGGACGATCCAATTTAGGTCATGCTAATCCTTCGATTAAATAAATCATGTCGAAGTGATAGACAACAAACATACATATGGACAATATTTGAGTTATTTGAAGTTGAATTTAGAAATTTGGTTTAATTTTTTGGTGGGTGGGATATAACACCAAAATGCCACCTATATTACTTCAAGTTGAAGTTTAAATTGTTGTCGAAACTTGTGAAATTAATTTGGTCAAACCAAATAAAGTCAAGTCAAGTTGATAAACAAATGGGTAAATAATATGAGTGATACCTTGCCCTAGAGGATAAGTTTGCCGCCAAAGTAATTTGTTTTGGACTCAATCTTCCCTCTTGACTTAATTAGCTAGATTATGCCATTAATTATTTTTATTTGTCCAGTATAAAATTTTTAAAATGAAATTATCACTTAATGTCTAATGTACTCATAATCTCATATTATTAATTATAAGCACTTCTGAAGCGCATTCAGTTTGTTATATTCTAAGAGTATAATGTAATAAAATTCTCATTCTTATTGCTCCTTAATCAAGTCGATAGTGGATAAGTAAAAATAAATAAAGGAGATATTCAAAAAACAATTCTTTTGAGCTAAAACAATAATTAAAATGAAACATATCGAGAATAATTGTCGAGATAACTTATGCTACTAGTCAAAATAAATAATATCTCGTTATATTGAATTGATTTAGCCAAACAGTTTAGCGACGTTGGAAAACCGCTATTTTGGAACCAGGTATGTAAAATTACGGTGATCTTGAGCATATATAGGGGTAATGCAAAGTGGTAAGTATTGATATAAAAATCAATTCTTTTGTGTCCAAATTTTATTTTTTCAAGACTAAATTATTGATGTGATTGTGAAATTTCTTGTAATGATCATTAATTACATCCCGAATACACTAGATATTAGAAATCACATCAACAATGTGTGTACGTGTATTAATAATTAGTTTGTCCAAAATCAATCTATCGAAAATGACATAGAGGGAGTTACTCAATTTGAGTAATAACACGTTTATCCAAAATCTATTGAAAATGACAAAGAGGGAGTTACTTGATTTAAGTAGGGGCGACAAAATCAACTCAGCCCATTCAATTCGATCCAATCCTTCTAGGTTCGGTTTGGTTATTGACCTAAACATTTGTTAGTTCAACTCATTTAAAAACTGGGTTGATATGTAACACAAATTGATTTTTGAAAAAAATTTATTAATTGTTTTTGATTTTAATGTTATATGTAGCTATAATAAATAAAACAAAGCTTTTATTAGGTACTAAAAACTTATAACATAACTAATAAAGCTATTGAAACTTAAATAAAAATTAGCGAATTGAGCGTGAAAATTCCGAGGGAAGGATTAAAAAAGAATTGGAGTTTCAGCTGGCTGTTGGGTGTTAAAGAAAAAGTTAAAACTAGTCATTGGAAGTTTAAGAGAGTTGTTAATTCTTACTTAACCGCTAATTTGGCCTACACCAACCAACCATCTATTCAAACAAGTATAACCAAAATAGAGGGCCATCTGTTACTCCTACTGTTCGTTTGTCTTCTTTTTTAATAAAAAATATTAGTAAAAGTCCACATCAATTCTTCCTAAGATAAAAGTCTAGTTGTTGTCACTGCCATTGCTTTTCTCAGATATTTTATTTTTGTAATTTGGGTTTGTTCACACTTGATGACGACTTCTGAAATTGTTAAGTCATTGCACACAGTTGAACGATAAACTAAACTTTTCAAACGTTTATTCTTGACAAGTCTCGTAGAAATCTTTGTAGAATATTGAAATGCCTCCTAGCTTACCAAGTACTTTCAGTTTCATGAGTGGAGAAAATATCAAAAGGGACAAACTAATCTAGAGGGTTATAACCAGGGCATGTTTGTAGCTTGAAGCCTCAGAAACATTGTTTCTGTTTGGAATAAAAAGAAATAATAATTGAACAGAACACATGGCACTGTGATAAAATTGGCCATGAACGAATACTTTTTTGACCACACGATTTCGTTCTGATATTACACTCCTATATTAATATACTTCGGTAGGAACAGCCCCTGCAAGGCCATCAGGCTACGCAGACATCAGCGCAGCTCTTCCACAATCGCATTAAGTATACACAAACTATGTACCAAACAAGCAGATGCCCGTATTAAAACCGACACAGGCAAGTGCCTTACACTACAAAACATAATCAAGGTAGTGGCGGTAATGTTTACGGTTGAACTCCAGTAAGCTACCATAGGTTCGGTCAGCCACTCCAATAAAGAGAGCTTCAGTATCAGGACTGAAGGATATCCCAGCAATCTCACCAAACAAATCAATCTCTTGACAGGTACCATAATCGGATTGTGTATCGAATATGTGGACAAAATCAGCTGGCTCCGCCATGGCCATGAAGCGCCCATCTGATGTGAACTTGATTGCACGGATGGCTCCCATCCTTCCTTTGAGCACTGCTATGGACTTCGACGTGTTCCTTATATCCCACAATCTGCAAGTTGTGTCTTGGTTACCAGTTGCCAAAATTCTTCCGTCCGGGTGCCAAGCTGATGAAAATGAATAATCTAGGTGACCTTTTAGGTTGCTGACAACCTGAAGCATCAGTCAAGGTCAACACTTGAGCAACTAATCATCAAAAAGTTAACACCCTTCGGTTAATAAAAGGTATATGGACGAGACCAACCTTTCCACTTTGAGCATCAGCAAGTAGACATTCTGGACTATCACCAAGGATAGCAAGCAATTTATCATCGGGGCTTACAGAGGTGTTCTGCAATGGAACAGAAAACTGTGAGTAGAGAGCCAATGAGCATTACCAAAAATCATGGAACTGCATAGTAGAAATTACATCCACTACTCACGTTAACAGACCAAGGAAATGCATAATGATTGGTGCAAACGAAGCTTTTTGCATCAAAAATCCTGACTTGCTGATCATTATTAGCAGTGATCACCCTCATTGAGCCACTGGAAAGAACCATATAAGCGCACTGGTACACAACAGTTCACATTGAATTCAAGATAAGCTACAGAGGCACAAATTTCAGGGACTTACGTCGGACTATAACTAATATCCACAGCATTGGTGATCGCATTCTCTCCAATACTTATTTTTGTAGCGAATGCAACTCCAGGTTGGTTTAAATACTGCACGAGTTAAAATCCTATCAGTATGCATTACTTAAGAAAAAGTACATATATGCTCAGAATTTACATTGTCATCCTACCTTACAGATAAGCTCCCCTTGGAAACCCCCAGCAGCCAGCAAACCATCTCTAACAGCCATAGTGCTGATCTGCACTCGGGGAAGTGTTTGAGACGCTGATCCAGGGTATTTCTGCACAAACCAGAGAGTTAATTCTTGATAGTCAAAAGTCATTTAAGTATATTTAAGGGAGACAAAAAGTACTGCTAACCATAGTGGGCGTCAATGGCCTAGCAACATTAAGCACTTCTTCCCCCTTTCCAAGAAGTGAGGACCAGTGCATCACAGAGTAGTTTTGCATGAGATACACATCATGTTTTGATGTCGACCACAAGAGATTCCTCAACTGAAACAAAAATATAGAACGGGTTGTTACACTCATCACTAGACAGCATACCAGTTTCCTATGAAGCAAACAACGTCACACGAGATCAAATAAAGCAAAAACAGAACTTAAGAATGCTGTAATTTGCAGAAAAAGCTCATAATTTTTTTTTCCAAAAATGATAGACATGCAATCTCATAAACTTCAGGTTTCAGATAGTTCTCGTTCCCCGTCTCAACCATATTACAAGCTGAGCGAACAGTAAATTGGGAATAAATAACCTACACAGTGTATTGCAGAATGGACCACAAAAATCAACCGCCCCCCTCTCCTTCTGCAAAGTCGGGCAATGCCTAATACAAAGTCAAGTCGTAGGTCAATATGTCGCTAGTCCTAAATATTAGTGGTCAATGATGCATAAGCTAGCGAAGGAACAGCTGCTAGCTTTCTACAAGTCCACAACTGAACAATCTACCACTAATAGTTACACATCATCATCTGCAATAGAGCAGGTTTCCTGGAAAGCAAATTGGGCAGCTAAAAAACAGTTCACTTTCCTACACTATTATACAGATCGAAGCAGAAAAGAAACCTGTGAAAGAGAAGTCAGAAATGTAAACCGCAATGATGACAGGAGGAAAAATGACGCAGAAAAAAATGAGAACGCCACAGAGACTCTAAAGGGATGCCTCACCACCTTGGAAATTGTACATAATCAATACAAGGCAGCAAAACCCAAACAATGAACAGTACATATTTCAAAAGACGTCAACGGGATTCAATAGCGTAATAGATGGATCACAAATACAAGTGCTAGGTTCTCCGATATTCTATTCCAAAGAGTGGAATGGACCAAGGAATATAGGGAAGAGAGGATAACTCTTGGGAGCAGTAGATAAGTAATTGAGCACCCAAGTTCCCAACGCGCTTGATTCAGGGCACAACACCACATAGCAAAGAGAGAAAGTCAGCAATTAAATTCCTAAGTTTGGAAGTGTGATTGATCAAGGACAGAAGAACACACAATAAAGTCGCCGGAAATTTCAAAATGAAGTCACGAACTCTCAAATGAATGACAAACGTAATCCAAGCCAACTATCTTACTCGTATTATGCAAGAGCTCAATTGCCAGAAAATCTTCTCTTTCTGATGGAGACCGTATCAGATGACAGCTACCAGAGAAGATGTACCAAAGAAGTCGTATAATTATCAAAATCGTGAAGTAACTGTGACACAGCAATCAGAATTCACAACCCACAAGTGGAAGTACTTAAAGAGAGCCTAGTGCAGAATCCATCTCTAACAAACAGAGAGAAAAAAAGTGCAACCATCTCCAACAGAAGAGATAACCATAAACAAGATAATGACTACAACCATCTTCAACAGAAGAGATGACCATCCAACTATTCAAATGAAGAAGAGATGACCATCCAACTATTCAAATGATTAAGAGATGACCATCCAACTATTCAAATGATGAAGCAACACACAAACATTTTAATACATACTTGCTGCCATTAACAAGTTAGCTCAAACTTAACAGAAGAAATACCATAAAGGCCTCTTAAATTCACAGATTATTCCCTATCATACCATATGGAAAATGCTTGCACCAGCTGCTCACATAATAACTGCAACCTGCTTGTAAGGCTGAAAGATAGATACAATAACAATGCACATACAATATCTGGTTATTTATTTGAAAGAAAACAATTCAAACAAACATCATTTACAACAAGAATTAAAACACAACCACTTTCACATAATGACTAGCAAAAAAATGTTCATCAACTCAAACTCTTCTAGAGCAACAGCCGAGAAAGGTTTGCAATGAACAATGGGCCTTGAATAGAAAGGGATGAACCATGCAGAAGAGGCAACAGAACTAGTTAACGACCAACTGAAAATGGAGGACCACGACAGATGAATTGAAATAAAATCAAGATTATTCTCTAGAGGGACACACAAAAGAGAATTGGAAGTTCGGAAATTTCAACCATCAGCCTCCACTGTTATGTTTGACACTGCAAAAGTAGATCTGTCACACAAGTAGTAGAATGGAACATAACAAACAACTTTGACTCAGAAGTCAGAACTATATTCTATGTCAGCAAAAAACGACAAACTACAAATCCAGCATAAGCCAGGTTCTGTCCTCACTCCTAAGCTTCCATATCAAAACCCAGTCCTCAAAATACATTCAGCTGATTCATGATGAAATATTCAAGAGTGAAGTTCCAAAACAAGGATCTTCTACAATTACAAAGTTCCATAAGACACTTCTTTAAATGTTTGTAATCTGCATAAAAAAGGATATTGTGAACACTGCTCTCTGATCAATACATCAATCGAGGCAGACTAAACTGCTAACTAAAAAAATGAGTTAAAAAGTAATTGCAGAATATAAGAACGGTTTCTATGTAAATCTTGTTTGCTTCGTCATGTAGCCAGAATAGCATTACTAGAAGAAACTGGCAAAAGTCAAATTCGGCAATATCTTTTGGATTTCTGAACAGAAGAAGAAAAAGAAATTAGCTGCATCAAGAAATAGTAACACTAAATTTACATCAGATGCAAATTCACCAGCTTGGAGGCCATAAGAGGCATCTCTCAAACATATTGGATCTGGTGAATTATTATTCCAGAAAGCTGTCCACAAATGAGTTAGACACACACATAGTCAATCTCTAAGTTGTTCCATATCAAGCATCAAACTCACTGAATTCTTCGATGAGGATGCAGACTCCATACCTCTGGAATTAATGAAAGGGTGAACCAACAGCCTAACAGTTTAAATCAAAATATCCAGAACATTAGGAGCAGAGCACCTGCAGAAGTATAGTTATTGCATGGAGAGGAGAAAAAGGCGACGCGGATCATCGACCAAAAGCTCACACAATGGTTAGACTGTAAATAACCAAATCCTTTTATACATTACCAGTTTCAAAAAAAAAATCCTTTTGTTTAAACTAACTCATAATGATGTAAAATAACAAACAACTAAAAAAACCAGTTAAAAATGAATGAGGAAAAAAAACATGAAAGGCAAGAATGAGAAAGGCAGCCATGGGAGTCGTTTGCCAGGTTTAATTGAATAATGCAAAATGAGACAACAGAGACTAAATCAATCACAAAGAACTACAGGGAGGCAGACCAGTCCACGATTTTCTTGATCAAAGGTTAACATAAATCCAAACAAGAAAAGGCTAAAAAATCTATATTACCTGAAAGTGCACGATAGTTGATTTGACGAGCCTTGTATTGAACTGGAAGTCGTAGAAGCTGTGTCCTTTTCCTACTTCCTTGCACTCCTTAATGGTGAGGAAATAAACTTTTAGAGTTGAGCCTAGCCAAATATACGAGAACATTCCAATACATGGGAATGGAAAAGAGTGTGAAGAAAAACCTTTTCAAGATCTTCACGAGAGCGAGACAGGCTCTCGTAGTTCTTATACTGCTTCAACCTCGTCTCGCGGTACTTGTCTCTGGTAAAATTAAGCCTTTCCCAAGGTATTCCCTGTATATCCTTGCCATTTCTAGCTTCTATAGCTGATGTATCCAGCTTTGACTTTCTCTGTAGAACCGAAGAGCAGTAAGTCAACATTGTTAAACTAAGGATGAAGATGACACCAGTAACATGTCAAAAAAATTAAATCTGCCCAGTACCACTTCAAAATCGTCCTCAAATTCCGAGTCTGCAGAGATATCCGGGTCAGTACTTCGCGGCGATTCACCCCCAAAAGTGCTGTCATCAAAATCAGTAGTGTCATAGTACTCATCCACCATATACTCCAACTCCTGATTTTGAGAGAGAGCCATTATCCTAAATCAACAAAACAAATCTTAATAAGCACCCGAACATATATTATGAATAAGAATTCATGAACTAATTTGACAAGTCTTCACTTGCCAGGAAATTAAACAAAAAGATTAGCAAAAAATTGAAATACTAAACCATTTATATGAAATATTTATTAAAAACAAATCTACTAAGGAAAACATTTAAATTTTTGAATTACAAGGTGAATTTCGCAAACAATAGAAAACTGTCAGATTTTAGTGGAGACAAAATCTTAACAACATCAAAACTACAGAAGATAGCGAGAATTTAGCCGAGAAAAACATCAAAATAATAGGAAGTAGCCAGTATTTAGTGGAATAAAAAGATTAATAACATCAAAACTATAGAAAATCACCAGAATTCAGTGGAATAAACAGCTTAACAACATAAAAACTACAGAAAATAGACAGAATACAGTGGAATAAAAAGCTTAACAACATCAAACTATACAAAGTAGCCAGAATTCAGTGGAATAAAAAGCTTAATAACATCAAAAACTATAGAAAATAGCCAAAATATTGTGGAATAAAAAGCTTAACAACATCAAAACTAAAGTATAGAAAAGGTCATCGCAGAAAAAACTCAGCATGCATTTTCACAGGTATTAGCATAGAAAAGAGGGCAATAAAACTGAAATTTCATCAATTTCTCATACAAAACCGAAACTTAAACAACATAAATTGAAAAAGAGAAAGTGTAAAACGTCGTTTTACAGTACATTCTAGAAGGAAACATTTGACGGAAAAGGAAGTTTGAGAACCGAACCTTGAAAGTATCGGAAGTTGAGAGATTTTCACGAGAAACAAATGGAAAAAGTAACCACCTCACGCCGGAAAAAAATCTCCGGAGTTCTTCAGATAATTAAACTGTGAAAACTAATTGAAAATTAGTGAGAAACAGTGTATAGCTTTGTTAGTTTAATGGCGAAATTTGGAGAGAGCTAAAGTTTCTATTTATAATAATAATAACAATTAGACAGAGGGCGTTAGTTTACCCACTGGTGGACCCGTAAGAGGAAACACATGAGAGAAAGAAATCCGCGGGCTATGGTTTACGGTCTACCGCACCGTTTAGCGCCGTCTGAACCGTAACGGTTTCTTTCTTTCCTTTTCGTCTTTAATCTTTATCTACTTTGATTTTAATATATAGATATATTAAAATTAAATTGTTGAGAAAAAATATAAAATAATATTTGAATAAGTGCGTGATTTTTTATCCTTTTTAATTAATTAATTTGTACGAATACAAATATTGATACAAAAAATACGATTACAATAAAATATATATATCTCACATATTTAATTCAATATATTTAAATAAATTTCTACTTATTAGCACGCTAGAAAAAACAAAGAGAGGGAAAGGAGGGAGAGAGAGGAAGGGTACTCGAAGGTGAAGGAGGGTGTGGGGTATGTTGCTATAAAAATAGCATATTGTTTTTTAAAAAATAATATTTAAATTTAAATAATTTTTTATAAGTAAGTTGTTAATCTAATTATTTTCAGAATTTTTTATATATAAATTATTATTTTTTATTTTTTTGTATTGTATTACGTTTTTTGAAAGTTAATTAATTAATTTTTAAGATTAAAATTAAATTATATTAATTTGATATTAACATAAAAAATTTATACAAAAATACTGTATATTGTAACAATTTTCATTTTAATATTCAATAAATATATTTAATATTGGTAAAAATTATATCGTTTAACTATAAAAAAAAGACTATAATAAATAAAAAAGGACCGTAGTACCGCTTATTTAAGATGTCAACGATTTGTAATTGGGATTGAACCGTGTCTATTTTTTAATTTAATAGTTCTAGATAAAATAATTTAATTATTATTTATTGGAGAATTTTTGTATATTACCACCTAAAGTAGCTTAATTATGTATTAGAGTTATAGTTTATTAATAATAATTTATAGTCACATGTTATAAGGAGAGAGTGATGATCAATATAGGGAGAGGGAGGAGAGAGGCGAGCGAGAGAAGAAAAAGAGTGAAGATTGGTGATTTGTGTGTATATCAGTTAGATTATATATATGTATATGTATCAATATATGTATTTGTATATCTGAATTTGAATTTGTATACAATTGAATTGAGTTAAAATATTTGTATTTGTATATCCAATCTCTCTCCCGCTTTATACAAACACAAATTATGTAAATACATATATAATTTGTGTTTGTATAATCTGAGAGAGAAAGGTAAAAGAGAATTGGACAGTGAAGATTTATATTTTTTATAATTATAAGTGTATAGAACGGAGAGATATGTATTTGTATTTGTATATCCCATTTCTAGCTTTATGCAAATGCAAATGCAAAAGCAAACACAAATATATTTGTGTGTTATATAAAGTGAGAGAGAAAAAAATAGAAAAAATAAACAAAAAAATATTTGTATTTATATATTATAAATGCAAAGGACAGAGAGATATGTATTTATATCGTATATCTTATTTGTCTGAATTTATATATATTTATACAAACACAAATTATATATTTACATTTATATAAAAATGATAGATAGATCGAAAAAATTGAAGTAAGAGAGATTGGAGCAAGGAGATGAGAGATGTGACAAAAGAAAGGAAGATAGAAAACGTAATTATAACTAGCAATAAGTTTCAAATTATAAATCGTAGCCACATAACTAATTAACTATTATATAGTTACTTAACCACATTTTTCTCTTTATTGTTTGACATAAAAATTATTTAAATCATATTATTTATGACTCAAGAAACTTATTAAAGCTAATCGAAACTGACTCTTAATTTATAAATAGGGTGTGCGTGGGAGAGTGGTAGGGGCTTGGGATAAATGCGATTTAAAGAAAATGAAAATTTTATGTTTTTATTTTTTCAAAAATAAACTTTTAACTTTAACATTTTTTTTTTGGTTAGGAGAGGGAATGGGCTGATTTGAGGGGTACGAACCAAAAAAGAATTGTTTTTTTTTTTGAGTTTGGAGAGGGTAGAGATATATGATGGGTGTAAGAAAAATTATAATTTGAAATTGGAGAAGCAATTTTAAAAATGGTTTTCTTAATTTTTTAAGGAAATTGTGGAACTAATTTTTTGTATTTGTTTAGTGTATTCCTTTCTTAAAGTGTTCTGCTCGGTTCAAATTTAAAGAAAAAAAAAATTAATTTGAAAATATTATTTTTGAAATATACCAAAATGAGAAAATTAAAAATTTATCAAACACATCCTAAGAGGAAAATATATATAAATATAGAAAAGTATTCCCTTCATTTTAAACTGATATTTCTATTTTATTTTAATTTATTTAATTTTTTTTAATAACATTTTATCTTTATTTTTTCATTAATTTTTTTTTAAAACTCCATTACAGGTAAAATTAGATAGAACCCATTTTAAATTGGACCCCACAAGTTTCGCCAGCTACCCTTTTGCAGCTTACACGTGTCTAAAGTTCAGTAAATTTCATTCTACAACACCCGACATTGGCAGCTGCAGATTTCACCACGTGGCCGTTATTTAACGTTTGATATAAAACGGCGTTATCTTAACCTAACTGTAGTTGGTGGCTTCTACCGTGGTCGGCAAGAATGGGTCCTGGTGGGGTCCATGCTTTGTGGGTCACTGTCCACGTGTAGCTTTGTCAAATTCTTCTACCTAGTCGGGAAGCATGACTTTTGAAACCCTTATTTAATTCATTTGAGAACAAGTGCATAAGTTTTTTTTCTTTTCAAAGTTAAGTCAAAAAAAAGTGTTCGATAAATTTAATTGTACATATAGATATTTAAATTTATATAAAATTAAATTAAATAATATATTTTATATGAAAATTTTATGTTTTATGTGATATCATAGATGTATCAATCTATAGAGGTGAAATTAAAATTTTCAATAAAAAGGTTCAAAATATGTAGAAATAGGCATATGAAGTATCCGAAGAGAGTTCGACATCTGCTATATATACATATAAAATTATTTTAATCATTTATAATAATATAATTTTCTGTCAAAGAGATGAACTCCCTTTGCACAAGGTGGCTCCGCTCTTGATCATGCTATGTAGAATAAAAGTATTTATCTATTCAATTTTATATAAATTTAAATATCTATTTAAACACATTTAAAAATTAAAAATCATAATCATCAATTAATATCAAATTAAAAGTCATTTTTATATATTATGTCAAAATGCAAACATCACTAACGACAGACCTAATAAAGACTCAATTAAAAATTGTCGAATTTTATCATATAATAATAGATTCATGTGAATTAAAAATGTAGCAAAGTGAGAGATAAAGGAAGACAAATGTGAAGTCAGCATCATAAATTTGTTTTGTTATGGAATAGTACCACTTGTTCTTTTGATCAGGTGATTTCCATTAGCTCCAACGTGATATGTCTCTTCGACTTAGTTTCTCCGTTTTCTTTTCTTTTCAAGTCAGTTCAAAAAATTCTCTTCTTTTTTATTTAATCATCATTGATTTTGATATAAAATTTTAAAAATTATAAAAAAAAAGAAGTCATTTTCAGTGTTTTGCAAAAGTTTATTAAAAAAAAAAATATTTTAAAAATAATATAATTTTTTTAAATAAATAAATAAATCGAGACAAAAAGAGAAGAGAGTGAGTATTAGAGGGCAAATCATTGATTTAAGCTTTATTTAATGATGAGAGATACAAAAGATAATTATTATATTATTTGTTTCATATTAATTGGTTATTTTTATTTTT